AAGCGCATAGAGCTTGCTGTTGAGCGAGTGTATGCGCTATACAAATGCTATTTATTATTATTGTTTAAAAATATTTTTAAAAATCAGAACTGTAGTAAATTATACGGTAGCTTGTAGCCACTACAGCCCTGACCAGTGATGGGAGAATTGGAGAGGTCTTGCTGTCAAGTATACCACAATGTTTTTTCTTAATTACAGAACTGCAATAGATTATACCGCACCATGAAGCCAGTACAACGTTAGCCAGTGATGGGAGAATTGGAGTAGGCTTGCAGGCATCATCGATACTGGTCAGAGATACAAGATTGTTTTGTGTGCTTGTTTGTTAGTTTTGTTGTTTTTAAAAACCAGAACTGTAGTAAAATACACGGTAGCATGTACCCACTAAAGCACTGACCAGTGATAGGAGAACTGGAGAAGTCTTGCTGGTATTATCGACTCTGGTTAGAGATACAGAATTGTTTTGTTGTTGTTGGGTTTTTTAAAGAAAAATTACAGAACTGTAGTAAAAAATACTACACTATGCAGCCACTACAGCATTGGCCAGTGATAGGAGAATTGGGGAGGTCTTGTCGGCGTCAGTGGTATAGCGGTTAGCTAGGTATCTTGTCTTCCTACACTGAATACCCGAGTTCGATGCACGAGTGGAGATCATGATTGTTTTTTTTTTTTATGCATCTCGGTTTTTCTGCTGGGATGTTGTATTCCTCTCAGCCCTGGTTGGCCCGGACAGGCAGGGTCAAAGCCAGCCTCCTAAAAGTTCTAACTTGTGTTGTCGAAGGCGTAGAAGCATTTACATTTATTCTTTTTTCTTGCCCTCTGTCTTCCTTTTTAAGACATGGACTGGCCTGCTTCTAATGCTGGAGTCATGTTCCTCTAACACAGCACCATAGAGTCAAGAGTCGCGAAACTCCATATTCAATAACGAGAACTCAAACTAATTTTTCTTTTGACTTTATAAATGTAATTCTTTATCTGCGTCTGTAGTGTAGCAGTTGGGCGCTTCGCTGTCGCATGCAAGAGATGCTGGTTCGATCCCCATGTGGGAAGAATCTTTATCGATTATTTCAGTCTTTCTGCTGGGATGTTGTGTCCCTCTGAGCCCGGGCTGGCTCTCATAGGCAGAGTCGAAGCCTGCCTCCTAGATGATCTAATTTGTGTAGGTTGGGAAGTAAAAACACCTACATCCCCCCAAAAATAAAATTCAATAGAATAAAAATACAAACGTTTTTTTTCTCCTTCCAGTTCTGGCGAACACAATCTTCAGAGAATCCCCCCCCCCCCCCCCACGAAACAACAGCAACAAAAATCCAACAAGAAAAAACCAAAAAGAAAAACCAAAAAAGAAAAAAACCCACTATCACAGATTTAACTGAGCACATTTTATTTTTATTTTGGCGTCAGGGAAACTCGAAGTTCTCAACTACAGCAATTGTCAAATTCCTCCACAGACAACATCACTTACAACAACGTGTTTGTTATCAACACTTGATGTACATATATGATGCACTCATAATACAAACACAAATGCCACATCACAAGTAAAAAATAATCGGTAATGCTTGACGCCAGCGTAGCTGATGTTTGAGACAGTGAACAGTTCTAAAAATGAAATCACTACATCTCCACCCATATCACTGAGACATTGGCAAACTGGAGCAATAAAGCATCACAGATTCGAAAATTATCTTCTAGTGCATGTGACATCATTACTAAATAAGTGAGACGCGTAGACTTGAATTATAACACAAGTCTGTAGTGACAAAGATCGTACATAACACGATCCTTGACAGTGAGACATCATCAAAGAGGACACCATTCAAATTGTTTTTTAAAAACCCTCCAAAACAAGAACGAGACAGTATGAATGAAACGAAATAAAACATAATTAATTGACTAATTCCAGAATAGAACTGAGCTGTTACAGACTGACTCACCGTAGGTATACGTTACAACAGTATTACAGCTCGTGATTTGTTGGTTCACACATGTGTACTGCAACACGAGGAGCTACTGGCGTTTGTTTTGGCAAAATGTGGATTTTAAAAAATCACAAAAACATACGGCACCCTTCAGCGGACAAAACTCCAGTATAGAATTTGATAACCACAGAAATTGAAACATAGGCAAACACTGCCTTAAATGCTTCGTTGAAAAATTGAAATCGTTAAGTAAAAATGGTGAAATGGTATAGGTTTAACGCCCCTGTCAACACTACTAGGTTATTTAGGGGGCGGGACCTCCGAGTTAAACGTCCACCTCCGAAAGGACCGAACCAAAAGAGAAATCCGTGTACAGTGCCTTTCCTATGGACACAACGTCGGACCGAGCCGACGCTCGAACCGCGGAACAAGTAATCTCATGATTACGGGTCCGGTAGCCTAACCACATGGCCACCGACTCCACCTCATTTGTAAAAGCCATACTACACTTAGAGAAATTAAAACCTACCCAATAACTATTACATGTATTTTCAAAAGATTACAAACTTAAGGACAAGGTCTTGTTCATGTTTGGCACCACTTCCCATAAAACGCAAACATGTCATTGTTCTCCATATCGTGTTATACATGCTTTGTTAACTTTCGCGACATCAGCTTTTAAAAAAAAGATATTAACATTTAAAAAAAATTAAAAAAATAAAACTTGGTAATGGTAAGACTGACAAAAAGGAAGCTCATTTCCTATGACCTCTAAAGCCAGTACTATCAGAATACCATCGGGACATTATCACAATACTGATAGCATAAACGTCTTTCTTAACAATTATTGCTCATTTATAACGTATGGTATTTGTGTGTGTGCCTTTGAGTCTGTTTGTAACTGTACACATTGTATGTGTGTGTGTGTGTGTGTGTGTGTTTGTGTGTGTACGTGTGTGTGTGTGTGTGTGTGTGTGTGTGTGTGTGTGTGTATGTATGTGGTAAAACACAAAAGCTCTACATTATGGACAGTAAAGAATAATCTTATCTTCTTTTATTCCTACATAAAGTAGCATGCCATTTGAAAACTCTCGCGGATATTTTTATTTCTTTTTGCCTGGACTGTGTTTCATTTTTAAAGAGTTCATAATCATATTGTCAAAACATTTCTTTATTTATGGCCGGACCGGCTACTATGCACAAAGCTCTTATGACAGTTATTGAAGCTCCACGTAACTCAAATGATTGGTGGGCAAATTTATAGCTGTTCGGCTTTTACTTTACTCGCCGAAAAGTACTTGGTACAGCTCGCATTCACGTGTTGATGCATATATAATTATAGCACTTCTTAGCGTTGACAAACTAGATTCTAGAAAAGTACAACTTACAAGTACATGACAAAGAATTATTTCTGCATGGTCACTCCAAATACATTTAAGCGGTTGGGGTGGGGGGTGGGGGGTGGGGGTGTGTGAATATCTTCAGATCATACTCTTCTCTTTCAGATCACCTTATACTAAGTTACAGTTTTATATAAACACACAAAATAACATGTTTCTAAAAAATTCTTATGAAAATACACAGAAAAACATTTTTCTAAACATAATACAATGTACAATAAGAGGCAACATTCTTGTATACCCCGGAGGTACAATTAAAATGATGTGGGGCACTTCCAATGATTATGAGGGGCATTGTCCATCCACACACAAAAGAAAACAAGGAATTCCCCCCTCCTCCCGGTCCTCTTCCCTCCTTCCGCCATAACAAACAAACAAACAAACAAACAAACAAACAAACAAACAAGTAAAAAGAAGCACATCCACTGACTGATAAGCTCATCTCTCTGACCCAGTAAGCTATGACGTAAGCATGAGGTGCGATGTTCAATCAAGTTCAAAGTTCATTGGCCATTTATAAAACGTATCACAGTTCGCTTATTTTTCTACGGAGATCTCTCATCAACTGAAGCAATGATGGCATAGCTATAGAGTGACCAGCGACGAACCATCTCATCATAAGGTGGTTGCCTTTGGTTCTAACGATGTAGAGGAACGTTTTCCTCTCCTTCAAAAAGGAACCAATTCATTCACCAAAGATCATAGGCATCACAGTCTTTAAAAATTTAAACTTAAACAAAAACAAGAGGTCTATGGGGGTGGGTGTGGGTGGGGGAGTTGTGGGGAGTGGGATGGAGTGGGGAGTGAAGTGGGGAGTTGAGGGAGTGGGATCCCAAAATCCACTGACCGTGAGTCGTGGAACCTCAACACACCGACTGCAAACCTCTATAAAACGATCAAGTAAATATCCTCCTTCTCCCCTCCCCTAAAAACCGACTCTCTCCCTCTCTCTCTCTCTCTCTCTCTCTCTCTCTCTCTCTCTCTCTCTCTCTCTCTATCTCTCTCTCTCTCTGGCTAATCCGTGGCTCAAATCGAGTCACAAGTCTTGACTATGGCAAAAAAAGCAAACTACATTATTTAATATTCCGACAAAATCATGTATAGATGACCAGACCCCATTAAACAAAAAGAGTGAACACAACAAACAATAACACTCAAGGGCCTCAAAATGAGATGATAAACTATAAAGAAGAAACCTAAAGAAACGATTGTTGTTTACTTTTGTCTCACCAAGCAATTGGCATCCTTTCCCTTCCTCTAGAAAAAACGTAGGAAACTGGAAAAGTCTGGAAGATCTGATCTAATGAATGTTTGCTTCTGGGAAAAAATACAACAACAACAACAACAACACAAAGTACACATAATCAGCAGGATCTAAGATGACACATCAACAGAAAGACACGCATAATTTGGTTATCTTTCTACGTGTAACAAAATCAACCCCAACGCCTCTTTTTTCCTCCTTCTCGCTTTCCTCATCAGGCCCTGACCTTCTCCTCCTTTCGTTCCATCATCTTCTTATGTTCCCTCACTCATCTAACCATGTTCTCATCCTTCTACCAGTCCATCATCTGGTCCTGTCCTTCTTCTTTCCTTCTCTCATCTGGTCCTGTCCTTTTTTCCCCTTCATTCCGCCATCTGACCCTTTCCTCCTCCTCCTCTCGTTCTTCGTCTGGACCTGTCTTTCTCCTCCTTCTCTCGTTCCGTCATCTGATCCTGTCTTTCTCCTCCTTCTCTCGTTCCCTCATCTGGTTCTGTCCTTTTCCTCCTTTCATTCCGCCATTTGACCCTTTCCTCCTTCTTCTCTCCGTCCGTCATCTGTCCCCGTCCTCTATGTCACCTTCTCATTATCTGGCTATGACAGAGTTACTCCTGGATCTGCCCCTGGACCTGCGCGCCACGTCACCAGCTATGGTGGCCTTGCTCCCCCTATGCTCCTTCTGGCTGGTGTCCGGGAGTGGCGTGCCCGCGAAACTCTCCTCTAGCTCCTGGGGACAACAACGATTCACACAGTGTAAGTGGTGGGAAAAGGCGTCTGTGGGGTGGGGTGGGGGTGGAGTGTGGTGGGGTGGGGGTGGAGTGTGGTGGGGCAGATTTTTACTTCAGCTTATAGAAATTACAGCTATGTCAGATAACAAAAATGATTTCTCTTCATTTTATTGATTTTCAACCGATGACCATTTCTATAAACCTGGGAAAGTTTTTTTCTTTTCCTTTTTCAACCGACAACCATTTCTACTAATCTGGGGAAAATGAGCAAAGGGGTGATGGTGCGGGTGGGGAAGGGATAAAATATGTATTTTTACGCCCCCATTGACATAACTTAGATTATACAGAAATACCAAGATACTCGATAAAGATGTTCCCCGACTCAGGAATCGAACTAGGGTCTCATGTATGTCACAGACAACAGAAGGGCGAGGTGGACGGTGCAGTTTATGGCAAACTGGACATTCAGACTGGATTCATTGGGATTAAAGATAGTCGGCACTATCTCTCTCTCTCTCTCTCTCTCTCTCTCTCTCTCTCTCTCTCTCTCTCTCAGCAAGGGTCGGTGTAGCCTTATAAGTAAAACCCATTCGATCAAAACGATCAAACTACGTTTAACCATATCTGTCAAAAGTGAAAGAAAGCTGTAAATAGAAAGACACAAAATGACGTGTGAACCAATATAGGAGTAAAATCTGTCACGACAAGTGGAATCAAATTGTAAGAAAGTAGTCCACGTATACTTACACTCCAAGAATCCTGAAGGATCAAATGTACAGCGAGGTAGAGAGGAAGAAAAACAACATTTTATAGCACACATCTATGTACAGAAAACTTTCCTTATCGGGGAACTGTTAACATGTTTGAAATCCTGGCATTTTTGTCTGTAAAATTGTTCGAGATTGCGATTTTACAGCTTTCAGTTTGTCCAGAACACAGCGCAAACGGAGTGTAGCCAAGATATAATTAGAATCGTTGGAGTTAATTTCTTAGTAGTACAATGTAGCGCGCATGTTCTCAGGTACAAAGAAAGGAGTATAAATATCATATTTCTTTGCTCACTTTCAGTGATGGAATAGAATTGGTTCAAACTACTGATTGCCAATGATATTTTGATCTGATCAGGACTTAAGATATAAGCAAGCTATATCATCCTACCCTTTACTCAAATAATAAAAATTACCACCATGGTCCTGGTATCGCTATGTAACCAGAAGAATTTTCATCCAACAATAAGGAAAGAGTAAATGTGTCAATGTTAGAAGAGATTGGAAGACGACCTGGTAATACAGCAACATCAGGAACCATAATATTGATACATGCACACCACACAAAAAGCACACAAAGCATAGTAATTTAATCATATAATGTCATGGCTGGGATAAGTAGGGAAGAGGCGGGCTGGGGGGGGGGGGGGTCAGGTGGAAAGGGCGAAGGGGGTGGGGGGGGGGGGGGTAGTAAACTTTCATCTCATTAGCTCTTTTCTGTAAACAGCACTGACTCCTTAGCAGATGGAAGAACTTGTAATAGATTTATCTATTTGTGGAGAGCGTTGATGTTTAAGTAGATGCAAGTAATAGATGTGTTTATGTACAATACCCACTGCACACTGCCAATCGAACTCACCGGATTGAGTCGGGGGCAGTCATTTTTCCCTCGTAGATGGGCGCAGGGCAAAAGCTACCTACCATTTTGGCGCAAAAACAGCCGAATTCAGCTTGATACGACGGGGGCCTTTGTAAATCAAACGCGTTTGTTTTTCAAGGCTTATAGTCGACTTGCTCATTTTGTGTCAAAATGGTAGCTTTTGCCCCATCCATGAAGGATAATCTGATATGCCACCACTCACACCGATGAATCTTACTGGCAGTATGCACTGTGGAGTTCATGCAAGCTGTGACATCAGACAATGGAGAACAACTGAGCAAACTGGCGCCAGACATTGATAGGTATCAACAAGTGTATTTCTAACAGGGTTCAAAGCTGCATGGATAAAAGCAATTGTACCCAAGCGTTTGGTTGTGACACAAAAAAACATTTATTGCCCTCCTCAATGATGAGATAGACACAAAATAAAACCAACTAAACTTCATCACTAACTATAAGTTTAAGGATAAACTAACACTGTGCCAAACAAGTAGGGATTCTCATTGATATTGACATTGTTTGAGTGACGAAATGCACCTCATGGAATGAAATGTAGTCCCTGCATACGTTTATATTACACCAGATTTGACAAGAACCTTTCTGGCCACTTAAAAATAATTATGATGGAACTTGCGATCCATAAACGAACCATTATTCATTTTTTCTTTCTCAAACAGCTTTTACTAATTTCTTATATTATTCAGAGATCGTTTAAATTACTCACAGCAAGATAACATTAGACTTTTAAAAATCACCGCTAATTAAAATGTTTCGGTTCTGGAACAGGGAAAAAAATTGAGGAAAAAAGATGATTAAAAAACCCCCAGATTGCATACATTTGACAGACGGTTAGATGAGAGATGGACTGATCATGATATGTAATGGAAATGAAGTCAGAATGTAGTGAAGGATGGACAAAATATATCACGTAAAATATAAAGATATGAGAATCAATATATTAAAAAAAACAACCCAACTGACACATTCCGAGATGTGGCGTGAGACATACGTCATTGACCATTAACACTAACACAGAACGATCTTGCCTGGACAAAAACTATGGAAGATTTTCAAGAGAAGCTATATGTAATAACAAATCAAATGTTTGCCCGATTAATTTTTATAGGGGGTAAAGATAATAGACACACATATGGACAAGTAACACACATACATGTATTTCATTTTTAACTTGTCCGACTGACACAATTAATAATAACGATACGACAACTGGGAGTAAAGAGCCGTGGATAGAGGAACGGGTCCACTGCTTGCCTGCCACAAGCAATGGATCTAGCTACACTGTCAGGAACAGGAGTGAGGACACGGCGGAAGACAACAGACGACATGGGGATGTGATGTCTTCTAGACCATCAATGATTTATTTATAGAGGCACCAGCCATCCATGTCCAGGTGCTGTTTTAGCCTTGATGTCTTCTAATGGACCTGAACAAAGGCAAATCTGAACATAATATATTGTTCTAAGGTGAGACTGGGGAAATAAGGCACTTCGGTAGGGAGACACTGGGCACTGAATTAGACCCCTGACTTCTGGCAGATAAAGGTCACAATCTGTGTTCATAACATTTTGTTTCCAGGTACAATAAAGGCAGCGTTCAGAGTTTCGTTGTTACAGTTTTAAGTTCAAAGTCTGAGTTTCAAGTTTAGATTTTCTGGAAATAACAGTGACCTTGGGGGCAATACTGACAGTCTCTAACCTTGATCTATGGAATACATTAGAAAAGTGTTATCCATCTTGGAAGAGTCAGATTTAGAGAAATTTCGTCCAGACTGACATTTTGACCGCTCTGTAAACAGTTTAACCAGGTGACAGTTAACGATTAAAAGATTACTTTTGATATAAGTGACTAGTACTCCGAAAATTAACAGAAACGTTAAACAGAGAGAAAGAAAAGACAGCACAAGTATATTGGTTGAGCATATTGAATAAAGGCAAACAAAACGTTGGACGAAGGACAATATATGAAAACAAAGAAGAACAAAGGAGAACAAATAAGAGGTTACACAAAAGAGAGAGATTACACGGAATGGAAGGGAGGAGCCTAAACCTAACACGTTTTGAACAGACAACTTTTTAGGGTGTTTATGGAATTAAACACATAGGAGAGCAGAGCCAGGTTCTCATAGCGTTGGGTAAATGTTACCACAGCATTGGGTAAATAATACAATAGCATAGGGTAAATGTGGAAATGTTATATGATAAGATGTTCTAGCCTGTCCGCATGTACTTACGCCTCTATAATCCTGTATGTGGGTGGGTGGGAGGGGGGGGGGGTTACGATACAGAAATGTAACACTTCAACTGAAGAGGCAACCAATGCAAATGTTGTGTGACGAGTTGTGTGTGTAGGAGTAGGAAAGTGTAATGCAAGAAAAACTGGTGAATAGATGGATGGATGGGTGGGTGGATGGCTGGATGAATGAATGGGTGGATGGATGGGTGGGTAGATGGGTGGGTGGATGGATGGGTGGATGAATGGGTAGATGGACGAGTGGATGTATGGATGTATGAGTGGGTGGATGAATGGATGGATGGGTGGATTAATTAGACAAACTCAGATTGTATACATTATTTAATGGACGGTAAGTGGAGAAAATGTGAGATGTAATGAAAACGACCTCAGAATGGAGTGAAGGATGGAACACAAAGTGTATCACAGAAAATGTACAGATATGAGGATCGATCAATAAAACGACAAATTCCGAGGTTTGACGTAAGACATACGTCACTGGCTGTTATCACTGACACGGAACCATCTTCGCTCATACGACCTTATGCAGTTGCGAGAGGCGCCGTAAAACCTTACTTAAACTAAACGAAATAGAACCATCTTGACCGGAGCAAAACTTAGGAAAATGTTCCAAAGGCGGTAGCAACAAATCAGTTGCTAGCCAGATCTTTTTTTTTCAGACAAAAAGGTAAAGAAGTATATTAACAAGTATATGTATTTAATTTTTGACATTTATTGTTTCTGACACTATCAACGATAAAGATACGATAACAGGGAGTAAAGAGCAGTGGATCGAGGCACAGATACACTGTTTGCTAGAAGACACGCGCCTGGCTACACAGTCGGGTGCAGGAGTGAGGGCACAGCGAAGACAACAGACAACATGGGGATGTGTGACGTCTTCTATAGGACTGTCCCGTGGTTTTATGCACCCCGCATAATTTAGCAAAATTTGATCATTTTTTGAATAATTTCTGATTACTTTCCTTTATCATTCTTTGTTAAAATTAACAGAATCGCATAATTTCACATTTATGGGCCCAGTTTGCATAATTTCAAAAAGTTTCTTGCATAAAACGACGGGGACAGATAGGGTCTAAAC